GGCGGTGGTCCAACTTACCAACTCACAAAGTCTCTCCTCAAAAACTTCTGCCATTGTTGAAAGTTCTTCCTCGTGTCTTATCTCACGTGAACTATTGGCTACACTGCCTCCTGTGATTTCCTATGGTACTGCTCTTGTCTCATCTGTTTTGTCCGCATCTATAAGCTTTCAGAAGATGTGGGCAAAAACAGATGAAATAAGCGCAGAGTACAAACGGCATTTTGTTGCAGATTGATCCATGCAATAGCATTTGAGAGACTCAAAACCACAGATATCAACCTCACAGAGTGATTGGGGAATTACAAGAGTCAGTAGGACTCATCCTCTAGGAACCATGAATGTCTGTACAAAATTGTATGACAATCCATTTGGAATATGTTAAGATATTTCAGTCAAAGTGGTGAAACGACCATCTGACCGACAGCTCCATCTTCTTAAAGATGGAAAATAAAAACTATACTTTACTCCCTGATATCTGCTGAGTCTATGTGTGAGAGGGCGTGCATCATGTGTATGTTTGCATGTATACTTTACTTTATGTGTGCATATATAAACTGTATGTGTGTGAGGCGGTTGCGGCAGACTTCACGATGCATACGTGCACATATGTGTTTATGTGTGTTTGTCAGGGAAGGCTTTGTTTCTGAGCGTGCGTGGGGCGGGCGTGTTTGATTTCAAAGCACGGCAAATGAAACCTGAAACTCTGGAAAAGCTGACAAAACATACCGATCCCAGGTGGTTAATGGGCCGGGAGAAATGACCACTTGACCAGCATCATAGACGACCCCATTCTAATGTGCCCTCTCCCTCCATCTGCTAGATATTACACCTAGAAACTCTTCTGTTGGTCCAACACACGTAACGGATGGGTGGTCCCGTGATAACACAGCTCCGGGTCTGTCGTGTCACCGAAAGACATCTTCCCCTGCTTTCAATTCCTCACCACCATAACAGTCTTCAACATGGGAGGCGACCAGTATGGCAAGATGTCATGATCTCAGTCAGGCGATGACAACCTGCTCATTACTTCATGATGCCACTTTGATGCCAACCGCTGGAGGGATGTGGACTTCTGGCAAAAGGATCTTTTGTCTTCATTCACACCAGCGACACAACACTTTAATCATGTTCTCCCATTCAGATCCCTCAGGAGGCAGCAAATAGAAGAGTTTGTTCGACTCAGTAAGAAATCTGCGCTCAGGGAGCCGACTCAAGAAAAGTTCCAGGTGTCAGGGGTGAGAGGTTGAAGGTCCCGGTTGTGTGGGTGGTTCTGATGAAGCCCTGTTAGCAGTTAATGAGGGCTGAACAGACACACTGATCACCCCTTGTAATTTGCGTGGGGCTAATCGCTGAATATTCCCCTTTGACAAGAGAGATTACACGCAGGGCCCAGGGCTGGACAATAGAGATTTGCCATGTAATGTCTCCACTATAGACTCGGAGCACAAAAAAAAGGGTGGATCAGGCCGTAGGAGAGAGGAATTAGAGGAGGGGGAGGCAGGGGGGTGGATGTGACACCAGCCAAGAGGTGCCACCTTTGGGACAATGTGAAGATGGGGAGGGGATGGCGGGGGTTGGGGGAGGGGTAGCAGACAGCACAAAGCTGAGCATCACATGGGACAGCTATGACCTCAGAGAATGACCATGTGTGGCCATGGGCATTATGATTGAGAAAATAATGATCTGTTTACTTTTGTGTCATGCTTTAAAGAGATGATATATGTATTAGTATATATCTACCAACTAATTCCACAAATGCCTGTCCGTCTCACTTCGCCTGTGTATTGTTATGTGACCAAGAAATGTTGTGTCGAGTTCGGTGTGATTTGGATTTTTAAGTGATACATTCATTATCAATCAAATTTGAATAAACAGGCAAACAGTCAGTGGGTACGGAGCTCAACAGACAGTCTGTTGATCTGTGGACCGAGTTAAACATCATCTCATGGCATCAAAATTCACAGAATCCACGTCTCTTGAGCAATTTCTCGAAAAAGTTAAAGCACAGCGTTTGGTTTGTTGCTGCAATGCTTTATATAGAGCAGAAACACAGAGCTTTTATTTAGAAAAGTTGTCAACTTGGGTCTGAAGATTGTGTTAGATGCTTAACAGGCCTCTCAAATAGCCAGAATGAGATGTATGAAAAAGACCTTAAATAAATCATCAAATTAACATAAAATACATGTGAACAATTATAAAGCAACATTCAATTTAATGAAAATGTACTATATTGACGCAATCATGGCTTCAGTGCAGATAAACCAGGTGGGATGAGCACAAAGTTTTCTAACTTAACTCTGCACACACATCACATGGAGTATTTCTAATTACCAATGGATCACATCACCCCTTGTCCGTAAAGGACGTTGCCTATAGTGACAAACCAAGAGAGTCTTACACAACTTTGCATTTTATGTTGTTTGGAGTTTTTATACGGCAATTATTTTATCTGTCCTTGCTCATTCTCATTTCTCTGGTCAATGTTGTTTTCAACCACATTAGGAAGCTGTTTTCAGCTTAACAGCTCATATAAACCTCCTGTACAAGCCATGCACCCAAATGGCCGACAAAGACAAGTTATCAGACCTAACATTCAACAGGTGGCCAGAAACAAGACTCCAATTGTATATACTGCTCCATATCTGTTGGATGTGTAACTGTTTGTCAGCAAATCCACCATAGTAGCTTCATGAGGGGATTATATGCAGCCAAAAACAATTAATACTCTCTGACGATTAAGTGATGGCATCTTTCTGGGATTTGAATGAAACCGTTTTTTCATATTTCCACTAAGTATTCTGGAGCTTTATCAGTGCCCATATAGCACTTGCTCCATGAAGGCCTTTTTGGCTCTGTGGGGAAAAACCAGAGGGGAGGATTTAGGCCTCAGTCCATCAAGCACATGGAAAGCTCATAACTCATTGAGGTCGAGCTCGCTTTAGTGGTTTTCAGTGACACAGATGACTTTTACAGAGGCCAAATGATTCCACACTAAAAGCAGCGTACGCTCTTACATGTGTGAATGTACCATATATACTTACCTCGGTGGTCTGAGTAATGTCCATTACATGTAGAAGCCCACTGCATACGGCCAAATGCTGTGTGAGGTTTGGGTTTGTCATGATGATCAGATTTAGATTTGCCTTTTTAAACCACACACGAGTTAACCTCCATTCTGTGTTTCTCATTGAGTTTCTGCGATAGACAAGAACAATGCCTCGTGGGCAAGTCTTGTGTAATACAGTGTAACAAGGCTCATTATCCCGAGCCCTGCTGTTGATTAAGGCTCATCACACAAACTGAAAAACCAACCTGCACAGAATTAAAGGCCCCACGAAATGAAAAATACATGTTCTTCGTTTTTTTTCTTTTCTCTGTCCTTCATCTATAACTTCTTATATGGAAAATGTTTGTCTAAATATCAATATTGCAATATTTTTTTATCAAGATGTTTTTCTGTAAATGGATTTCAAAAGTTTCATGACTCATCCTACACTCAGAGGATTTCAATAACTGTACATTCAATGATTATTCTGCCTGCTCCCGACGGGCGCTCAGGGACCCATGATGTCCAACTCATTTGTAAAATCCACAGGCATAGGTGAAGGTGTTGCCTATTAATATCTGCGACAGTCCGCTCTATGGCTTCACGTCTTTAATATGCTGTATCAAACAGGCTTCGCATTATTAGAGCTAATAACACACATGCCCTCAAGACAGAAATAGGCAAGTTCTAAACTGTTATAATAGCTCTTTAATCGTATTTTGTTCTCTGGAACACGTTCTGTTCAACAAGAGGAACATATTCAGTTTTTTGTAGGAGGTTCAGTCATGGTTAGAATGAGGAGGTTGGTTAAATTAAAAGAGGATGTGCAACACAGCTCGAAGCTGCAAGAACATCCTCCATTCAAGATTCTCCAGCTCTCCATGGCTCGAAAGGTCACCAATGTAAAAAAACATTTATATAATGGTGTAAAGTCTACCTCTATAAGAAAGATGGATGGATATTCTTTGCCCTGCTAGCAATTCCATTGAAACTCCAAATCCACCACAAGATCATGGTCATTTTAAATGCTGCTGTGTCCAGTCTAGTGGTACTAACACTCTCAGCAGGGAACCTTTCCAAAACAGTGAGGGACATGTGATCGAGGTGGGGCTCAAGGAAACTAAGTCGAACGCCATCTTCTTTCAGAGGAAGCAGTTTGTGTTTTCCACAGTGATCTGTTACTTTAACTCGTTTCTTTTCTTCCCTTTTGTTTTTTTCCTCTCTTTGACATCCCTCGTGTCACTCATATTGGAGACGTGTGGCTTTTTGTTTTGCCAAAACATCCTTTGGGTTTGGAATCTGTGCCAAAACCAAAGGATGCATGCAACATGTTGAACAAGTCTGCAGAGACGGACAGGATTTTCTTTTTTCTTGCCTTTCTTCAGAAGCCTGCAAGGACCACCAAAGATGTCAGTCTCAAACTCAAATTAATTACAACCTCAAGGATGATCCAATTCGTCTGACATCAACTGCATGCACTGCTCTGACGTGTGTGTTTATGTGCACTGTCCCACATGCATTCACATGCACTGAAAAGAGCTTGAATCCCAAAGGCTCAGTGACGGTCATGGGAATCTGAAGTTGCACATCAAACATAAACTCCCAGTGGCAAGTCTGATGAGAGTCCTTCGGCTCTGAACATGTATGGTATAATTTGTGAAGTTGTGGGCCGTGTCATTGGCACTTCACAGGAAATGTGACTCTGTCTCACGCACAGTTTCAGGTTGCGAAGATAAAACCTGAGGTGCCGGGAGGGAGAAGAGGGGGCACGCACACCGAAGACGTAAAGGTGAAGATCCCGACTGTGGTGCCTTGATTTAACAGCTGAGGTTTTGAAAGCCCAGTGCATATAAAAGCCTGCCATCAACACATATAATCTCTTAGCTGAGCCTATTGAAAGCTGGGTCCCAGGGGTTAATTCTCCCATCACTCCATGTTTGAATCAACTCCTGACTCACATTGAGATGAAAGCCACAGAGTCCCAGGACCAAGCCCGGACTCCGAGGCCCGCTGATCCTGGACGACTGGAGCGGATTATTGCATGTTCGTCTGGTCGGACCTCCATCGGGACAGGAAAACTGAAAAGAAAAACAATAATTAGAGATAATTGCTTGTGTCCAAACACGAGCGTTAAAGCCCTCCTCCCTCCCATCCCCTTTCGTAGTATGTGAGGTGGAATGAAAGGGACACCCCCCTGTTTTGACAGCTGGGCAGGCGAACATAATTTGTGACAGCTGAACTGAAACGTCTTTAACCGCAGGGAGAGACACAGAGAGAGAGAAGGATTTGGGCTGAGGGAGAGGAATGGTTAGAGAGAGAGAGAGAGAGAGAGAGAGAGGAAGATCAGACAGAGAGGTCCTGCCCAAAAGAAAGGAAGAAGATGTTAGAGAAGAAAAAGAGACATTGGAAAACGGGGAGAAGTGATTGCCGTGTATAGAGGGGTGGGATTTCAGCAGAAAAGGAAGAGGGAGGTTAAAAGGGGGAAAATTAGTCACACACCATAAACTTTGAAGAGAGGTAGAATTTAAAATAACCCACAAAGAAAAAGACAGGACAAGAGAGCTTAACATCAAATGCGTGCAAGTGGAAAAGAGGAGAATATTTAAACGGCAGAGCTCGGCTGAACATGGTGTCATGCCAGGTTTGACACATTGGGTTAATTTGCTGCTCCCTGGAGTTGACCCTTGAACTTTGGGGACACGGGGTCGAATTGAGCTCGGAGTGAGACAGCCAAAATCATGTCAGTCTGAGGAGCCGGGTCATGGGTCACCTCTGAGATTCTTGGTATATAGGCCAAAACAAGGACCATATGTGGACGGAAACACATTTGAAACAAAAATAAGTCCTGATTTTCCATCCTCACTCCAAACAGGCCATTTTCTTTTCCCTTTTGTTCCTCCTCCTCCTCTGCCGCCGCTCCTCCCGCCCGTGAAAATCTCGACCCACCACAGACTTTCTGCCCTAATTCAATAAAGTCGTAAATACCGGTGAAACAGCAAATTGACATAATGTTGGCCGCATGCCCTTTAAATTGTCAGTGACAGAAGTTTTCCCAGAGGTGAAATATTAATACAAACACAGGATTTCTTTTCCAAAATACCCTGCTCCCAAATTCTCCCGTGTTTACTTTTCTCCTTGCTCCTAATTTCTGTTAGTGTGAAATGTTATACTTACTGTTGCGTTTACTGACAGGGCAGGAATGGAAACCTGGGAGCCGGGAGAATGACCCTCACAGGGTCGCTCAGCCAAATAAGTGAGTCTCTGTCCTTTCACTTTCATTTCATCTGACCAGGAAATCTTCTTTCACCATCTGGGAAGTATGAATACATCACCGATTAATCACCATTCAAACTGAAAATAAACTGAACATTAATAGTTCCTCATTATTTACTTTGTGTTGTGGTTTCTTTAGTAATTGTAATGAGTCATGATTATTCCCAAAAGTATCACTATGTCATATTAAAATACATGCTGCAGTAAAATAATAGAGTGCAGTGTGGGAGTGTGGCAGTAATTAGAGAGAAAAAGGCCAAAACACGAGCTCGGGCTAAAATGTGAGAATGAGGTTGTGAGGATTAGTGAGGATATTTTTGCAAATCGGCAAAGGGATGGAAACTTAAAGTCACATTACATGTAAAACAGCAGTTTTATTATGCTATAAAGGGGGATGTTAGGAAATCAGTAACACAGTGACAGGCTAAATGTAATGAACAAAGATTAATCCAAATAAAATAACATAAGAAATTAGATCGTATTGAACTGTGAAGCGGGAAATATTCA